TCTCACATGTGATGTTTTACATGGTATTTTTTACGATTCTGCAGGTAAATGGAATAGCATTTCACCCTGTCCATGGTACTCTTGCAACAGTAGGATCTGATGGTAGATTCAGCTTTTGGGATAAAGATGCACGAACAAAGCTAAAAACATCAGAACAACTTGACCAGCCGATATCTGCTTGTTGTTTTAACCATAATGGCAATATATTTGCATATGCTTCAAGTTATGATTGGTCAAAGGTAAGAAAGGTTGTGACTCCTTCATAGTTGACAACTAAGACTATTCTTTTCACATGAGGCTTTCACTGTTCTTTATAAATAGTAGCTGAGTCTAATTTTACAAACGTGCAAGAGAATTTACAGTGGTCTGCATTTTAGACATTTTTATGAAATTTAACACTGAAGCAGTGCGTTTGGTTTTTAGCTTCAGTTGGATAAGGTTGCTAAACAATGCTATTTTGCAAATGTGGATGAGCAACATGTAAGTTACATGCTTCAGAAGTTATTCTGGTTGCTCACATGTATTCTGCTGTGGAGAGTGTCATGGGGCAATGTGGCACCCTAACAAGTTGCTACAGATCTCTTTGAAATGCACATCTCTGTTGCTCGGGCAGATTCTCTTTAACTTAACTTTAAAAAAAGCTGTGACTCTGGTTATGAACACTTAAACGAGTGCTTGACTGTCATGTACTAAATTTCCAGTACCATTCAGTGCAGCTTACTGATAGCACTTAAATTTATGTATTTCTCTTCCAAACTTGACTCAACAATAAATCTCAACAAGAGAATCACAACAAACCATAATATTTGAAGAATCAACGCCGCTTAATAGTTTTAAGAGGAGGGGTAACCAGGTTGAAATGTAACTGATTTCAATAGAACAGCAACTTTTAATTAAAGTATTACTTTCCTGTTATAACTAGTGCTTTTAAATTTGAGGATAACGTTCTTTGTGATTTTAACTGAAATGAATGCAGAAATCGCACAGATGAGCTTGACTGTATGCCACAGAGAGCAACGTTTGAATTTACTGCATTGTATCTAGGCTTCTGGATGCTGCCCACAGTAAGATAACTTTGTTAGATGCTAGGGCAGATGAATTCTTCTGTTCTTGAGTGCTTGGGTAGACTGCAATGGTAGATATGTACCGAGGTTCTTTCAGATCTGTAAATCAATATTAAGTAGTAAAACCAGTAGGCAGTAAATTTTCTTTCCAGAACCATTTCTGTCAAGCGGAGTTGGTAATTTTCAAGTTGTGCGTTGGACTTTAATAGCTTCATTAGTGTCTACTCTCCCTGATTTGAATACTGGCATATTGAGTCAGTAATGTGTATGCAAATAATGTCAATATCCAAAATAGTATATTTGCATTTGTAATTGGGGAACAGATATTTTTGCAGTTGCCTGTGGAACTTGGGCTTCGCTTTGAAAAAATGTGACCTTATTTTATCTAAAAGGTAGATACTATAAAGTGAAATTGGGTGGCCATTAAAGTTTTAGTTTCTTCTCTGCTTGGAATGACATTTTAAAGCAAAATCATATTGAGCTCTTATGCTGCATCTGTAAAGTAGACCTTAGGGATATGTGGTTATTTTTTTATACCTTAAAAATGGATAAATGTCCCTTAAATTTTACTCTCTATATACAAGTCTTGTAATTATTTGTTACAGTAACCTGTTTCTAATCCACCAGTGTTGTCCAATACCTGGTCTTAAAGAGTTTAAGATTAAATCTTAATAAACCAAACTAATGGAATATTCATATTCTTACATTTTAAGATAATGCTGCTGTTATTTCTTCTTTGAAGAGAGTAAATACAGATTCCTTTTCTTCTTAGGGTCATGAATTTTATAATCCACAAAAGAAAAACTACATTTTTCTGCGAAATGCAGCAGAAGAGTTAAAGCCTAGGAATAAGAAGTAGTGAGTATGAGTCTGACTTCTGTTACTCTACTGTGTTTCTGCCATTCCTGCCTCTACTACACTGCTCTTCTGCCATTTGCGCCCTATTGCACCACGGTTCAGTCAACTTTGGATCGCTAACATTTAGCAGGAACTGTAAAAATTAACCTTAAATGCATTCTGACTTGCTGGAGTACGTTTTTTCAAATTAGATACTCTGATGTGTGTGAGAGAGAGGCTAGTATTCACATGACTTAATCACTGTCTGTTCCACAGCAATAATGAAGTTGCAGCAAAATCTAAATTGAGGTAGATATTCCCGCTTATACATGCAACCGTTTGTATCTATGGATTTATTTTATTAGTACTACATTAAAATATGTTAACTATAATAGTTCTGGAGAAGTTGTATAAATACTGTATTTTTTGTAGGTACCTGAAGAATTGCAAGTAATTCTTCTCAAAGGAAGCTTGTTATTGCTTATTATTCAGGGGTTCTTTCATTGCTTTCTGATTTTCAAAATGGAAATATTGTCTACTGTATGCTAGGAAGAAATGCATTGCAAATTGTTTTCCCTCATTTTTTGGATTAATTTAGTAGGTATGTAAGTGGCCAACAGCAGTGACAGAAACTCGAGACAGAAGATGGGCACAGTGCAAATTCTACGTTAGTTTTTTCTTACACTCCAGCAATGGAGGTGACTTTGAGCCAGCTGTACTCATGCTTATTCTAGTCCAAAGGAGAAAATGTCAGTTGTGCCAAGTGGTATGTAGTTCAGTAATATGAGGAAACCATGAAAGGGTTTGTTTTGTTCATGACCAAACCAATGTGTGCAAAATACATGTGGCCTAAACTGCTTTAAAACTGACACCTTTTAGAGTTAAAAGTTGGTTCCTTTGCATCTCTCCTAACATGTTTCTGTCCCTTAACAGGGGTTTCTGGACTGAAAAAAAAAAAAGTACTCATTTTTGTATTAACTAGAAAATTGTGCTGGTGTGTTTCATCCTGATCAAAAATGCTGTGAAACAAAACAAGAGGGTCTCTTTCTGACTTGAATTTACCACTGTTTACTTTTAACTAGCCAGTTGTATACATGCCAAAGTTTTCTTTTTAGAAGTGAATGCTTATTATTCCTGTTTAACTGTTGTTTGTTTGATAATGACTAAATAAAAATGGGGGGTGGGGGAGCACATGTATAGACGTATCTGTCATAATGTACAAATTCTCTGTAAAACTGTATGTTGTAACACTTATGGTTATGGATTCATGCTAAGTTTCAAATAAAATTTTTACTAAATACTTTTTTATATTCAAAAGTTCTATATACAATAACATGGACAAGATGGTGTGTTTGACTTCCAAAAGCAGCTTCTTGTCCTTTCGCTGTAATTCAGATACGTTTTCTGAAACTACTTTTCCCCCAGCTGCTTGAGCTGGAAATCTAATGCTTTTTTCCAGTTGCTCTTTCATTATGAATGTTTCTTGTGGTTTTGCGTCCAAGAATTAAGAGGACTACTACGAAAGGCCTTTTGTTTTATAAGAATGAATCAAGTTCCTTGCTATCTCAACAGCCAAACACCTGACAATTTGTCTTTAGTACAAATGAATCGTGCTATCTTCAAACCCTCCAGAGCCTTTACTATAGGTCCTTTAACTTCAGACTCTTCTCTTTAGGGTGTTCGTCAGTTTTTGTTGGGTGTGTATTTCTTGTTTGATATAGTTGAGGAAAGTCCATGCAATACATTCTGCTGTTGTTTAGAGATGTTCTTTTCTGGGTTTTATTTCTCAATTTAGTTTTTTTTGTCTGCTACTTCTATTTTTATATGATTTTAGATTTCACATTCATGGCCTATTTGTTTTCTTGAAGACAGGAAAGAGTTCCCAGCAGTTACATCGATAGCTGGTCATTTGCTCAAACATTTCTTTTGTTTATGTTGAATTTTATTTTTAAAGATTGTGATTGTTCTGCTGTAATCTTTGGGGTTTAGTACGTTTTTCCAGTCTTCCATGTCAAATTAATTCTATCAAGCAATTGCAGGCTCAAGGTTACATGTGTGTCATCAGTGATAGCAAAAAAAAAAAAAATTAAAACATATTCTAATCTCTTGTGTGCAGAACTCCCACTGGTGTAAGCAGGGAAGAATGGAATGTATCATCTGTTTCTTGTTTAAAAAAAAAGTTTCTTCATTTAAATACTTAACTGTGTGAATGAGTGAGGCAGAAAATAGATTCACTTCAGTTCAGCAGGTACGTTTCTACTGGATCCAATGGAGTTGCACCTACTTAAGTGGATACTAAGTTTGGCCACATATATTTTCATAATGAAGCCAGCAGTGGTAAGTCTCTCTTGGTAATACAGTTCTGTACTAATATGTTGAGTCCTTATTCTCCTGTTGGAATCAGTTTCTTTTTATCTGTCAGCAAGGTTTCAGAATTATTTAGTCATCACATTAATTTTTTCAGACTCATTTTAGAAGGGCATATTTCCCGTTGTGTTGCTGTGCACATTAGATATATTCAGTTGGGAGGACAGAGTCAAACTTTGAACTGATTGTTTTCCGTTACCCAGGTTAAGAGAATGCATTAGCAATGTACTCCTCCTTGGATTTTTTGCAAGGTTATATTGCAAAGTACACACAGCTGTATCCCTTCGAGCATCAAACATGTAGTGAGAGCTTATTCACACACAAATAAGTGTTAGTGCATGTTCTGGAAATGCATTAACTTGCTACTCTATGGCAGTTACCTGTCCAAAAAAGAATGAAGTAGAATGTAAGATTGTAATGTATGAACAAAAAGCTAACCACAGGAATGCTAGATCTATAAAAAAACCTCATTTTCATTGATTTTTTGGAAAGTTTGCTGTCAGTGTTTGTGTTTTATTGCAGAAAAATAAACTTTGGCATAAGGAGAAACTCAGTTAAGCCCGCAAAAATGGGGACATCTTATAAACATTTTAAAATAAGCTGTTTCAACCTTCTTCCTGATAGTCTCACATGTTAGTGGTCTTGCACGTTAGTTTAATAAAATGTATTTTGGAAAATGAAGAAATCATCTGCTACAGCCTTTCACAAAGTAAAGCAAGACATGCTTGCACAATGGCAGGTGGTCAGGCGGAGTATCTTAGTTTACCATCTGTCAGATGAAATGCAATAGCCAATTTGGTGACTACTCCAGCCTAGCTCCTAGGCTAGGAAAACAAGTTAGAGAAGTTCTCCAGAGAAGTATGGATTTGAGATAGAGACGGGGTTAGGTGTATGTGGGAAATTTCATAAAGGCTGTTGCTTAGGCCTGGTTCAATTTAATTGTGATCAAGTGCTGTTTGCAGATGAGGTGTTGGGCAACTGTCCACTATAGGGAATTGTCAAACCTGTCTCAAAAGGTTTACACTATGGTCTTTGAAATGATAGAAGCCACTTACCTTGTTTGCCTTTCTGCTGTTGCTGTTTGTAGAGAGGAACCAGGGAAAAATTAAATATTAAGGTTTATGCTGTTATGTTTTTATATTGTATATTTTTGAACAAACCATAAATATATATATATAAAATGCACTGAAATTTAGAAGTGTATGGCTAATATAACCTGATACTATGACCAGCCCTTCAGCTTTTCTCTTCTATATTAAATTATAGTGAGTGACAGTGAAATTAATACAGCATTCTTACAGTTTCAACCCTCCCTGAATGAATGTCAGCTGAAAGCACGTTCAAAAGGTCGTAATGCAAAAACATCACCGTTCTTCAGAAAGCTAGCTAGTAAAGCAATCTTGGAATACAGACAATAGGCTAATTTCTTTTTCTAACTCAGTCGTTTAATTTCTTGGCCTGGAGATCAGGGCATACATTCTCTCACTTAACTCCATCATATTTTTTCTAATTATGTTAGAAATTATTAAGTCTATTGATTAGTACAGTCTCTCTGTATTTTCACAGCACATTAAAATATGTTTCAAAGTTTTATTTTATGAGACACAAATATGGGTCATTATAAAGACAAATTATTGCATATGCATTTCTGAAAATTTATAAAATATTTGTGCATTGTATTTTTTCAGCTCTGATGCTCAAGATATTATCTGTGATCTATAAGATGGTACAGACTAATACTTATGCAACTAAAAGGTAACATACTGTATTTCTGTAATTTCAGATGAAGTTGTATTTTAAGAATGTTACTGTGAAAAACAGCCTGTAGAATGCAAACCCATAGGATAATGGATTCCTGTATGTAAAATGCTTTAGGTTGATCTGATTATCCATGCCCTCTATAAAATTCTGACGAGCCCACAGCTGTTTCAGTGTTATAATTACAAATACAATATTTTGTCTTGATAGAGATATATATTATTCAGATACACTACTGTTTGGTAGCCAAAGTGTTGTGGACAATATAATCAATGACATTTCTTGCATGCTTAAGATACCTCGGAGAAGTCTACATATAGTAAGTGGCTTATTATGAATGCTTTTATCATTATTTCCAAATCATATAGATTGAACGGAAGGGTGAAATAGCAAGAAAGGTTATCACTAGGAAATACATAGTTAAAATTAAAAGTATCATTTGTGCAAATGAAACCTAATTATGGTTTATCATAGCACTCAAAAAGTTTCTTTCTTCAGAGAAAAATCAGTTTTCTTGCTCCAAAGAGTTTGGGACTAACTGCCAGCTAAAATCACAGGGCCTTTTGCTATTATCTAGTGAAGGCAGTGCTTAAACTTCAGAATGCAAGACACCTGTTTAGCAATTTGTACTCAAATTCTTTTGCCAACTTGGGTGTTAGATGAAAATTTAAAGTATGTTAGAGATGCAACAACCTTTCAAATTTACTTGTATCTCATGCCTTACAAGAATTCCTTTGTATCTAAATATTCAGTTGTTAATGTAATTTACTATAAGTATGCCTTTATGTCCATGATGACAACAACATTGCTTAGTGTTTAAAAGGTTGATGGCGGTCAGTAACTGCTTATTACTGGTCAGAATTATTTTCAGAAGTTTCTTGTTTTACCTGGCCAATATAGTAACACTACAGCACGTAACTTCCCATTTATTGTATACAACCTACTGTTTTTTTTCAGCTGTCTACAACTAAAGGTTTTGTTGCTGGAAATTTAAGTTACACTGAGGAAGATGGTACAAAAGTGAATTGTACCTGCAGTGCAACAGTATGTATTATAAAACAGTAACAGTCATTCGTAGCATCTACCTTAGCATGATATCCTGCACTTCTTGTAGCTCAGGCTACTGTATACATTTATTATACAGACCTGTGCTTGCGACAAATTGAGACATTAGAGCCTGGGTGAAAAAAGAGAGATAAAAAGTATTGTTCAACTGTATTGCAATTCCGAAGCTCAGCTATATACTCACAAGGAATATATCCTTTGGATATGTTTTTTAGCACTACCTTCTACGATGGGAGCCTTGCAGAGGAAGGTGTATATATTGTGTATCTTAGGCTTTATATTACAGTGTTCTGTCAAATAAGTGCTCCAAGTCTAAGAACCCTGGGCACTCTGAACATACTTCACTTCTGTCACAATAGATTGATTTCTGGCAGAGTAAGAAAACAAGTCTTAAAGCCTGAGTTGACATACTCATATGGTCCTCAGTCCTCAGTGAGCTGCTTCTGCCACACTGGGCAGACTCCTCAAGTGGCAACAGCACAGATGAGAGACTGAACTGAACCTCTGTAATTAGAGAAGGCAATGTTTTTCTGGACCCAAATTACGTTCTCATTTACAGAATTTTAATGATGATACTCCTCAGCATAAGAGTTGATATTTTCTTCATGTACCCAGCACTGCACAACCAAAGGTGTATAATATCAGGCTGTTTGGTTTCAGGATTTTCATTTATACAGGAATTACAGACATTAGATGGGCTTGTATTGTCAACTAATTTTATCAGAGTTGGCACTGAGCTAAAGAGAAGTTTATAACCACGGTTATAAAGTCAAGAGCCAAAAGTGGTTTGAGGAGATGAGATTCAACTAATATAGTCCTGAAAGATTTTCTATAGCTGTGCAGCATATGAAGGCAGGAACAGAACTCAGACTTGCTGACTGTTGTCATGATTTCTTGGAAAATGTGCTCATTGTAAGCCTAAGTAGGTAATTTCAAAATGGAAAGATAAAGCTTAGCTGTCTGTTATAGTTTGTTTTTAAGCAGAGCATAAAGTCCCCTGTTACTAATGCTCATCTATAGCTCTTCGTATTTTTATTTGTTGAGTTGTTCCACCCTGGCACCGGAGGTGATTTAGCAGTCAGAAGTAAAACCAGACCACACACTTCAATATATACATACTCTTTTGCCAAGTTCTTCCTACAGTTCCTGTTTCGTTATCCATATGCTTGCCAGATTGAGCCAATCCTAATATGAGATGTAAACATTACTGTGTCTTCAAGTTGTTGCTCCAAAATACTTATAAAATCAGGTTATAGGTTAATAAAGGATTTAATAGTCTTCCAAAAAGAATACTTAAGTATCTTAAGCCTGTATTAAGTTTGCAATCTTCACACCAAGCTGACTCTTTTTTCTGGCTAAAACAGATAAAAAAAATTAATCAGGACATTGTTGTCTCTGTAATGCCCACATGATGAGCAATCTCCTGTGACAGTAGCACAAACACTCTTGAAAAGCATCTTGTTATAATAGGAGGATAACTACACAACCATACAATAGAGCAGGATATGAATGGTTGAGTACACTTAAAAAGAGGTGAAAATGTCAAGATTGATCTTTTATACAGAAGATGAATGGTTGTTTTAGGATGTAATTGTGTCTTTCATTACCTAATACTGTTATTTTAAAATATATCATTTTCTCTATTTAAAATTATTAATCTCATTTTTGTTGTTTTAGGCAGTCACTGTACCATCTAATGTTCAAGGAATTAAAAGTATCCTTTCAGCAAGAATTCTCGTTGTAGACTGAAAAAATAAAGTAAAACCAAAGAATATTCCAAGTTAAACAACGTTCTGGTAATTTTTTCTTTGCTTGTTGGCTCTGAAATTGAGTCATGAACACTGCTTTTGGCTCCAGAACAGGTCTTCTAGAGCATTTAGTTTTAATTGATTGGTGTGATGGATCATTTTACATGCAGCTAGCCTTAACAGAAAAGATTTAATCTCACACGCCAAATTTATGTTAATTGTAGAAAAAGATGCAACTTTTCAGAGACTTCTGGATGATGACTTCTGCAATAAATCGTCCCCATGTATAATGATTACGGTATGCATCTTACATTTCATATCGTTTAGCTAGATGTAAGAATAAAGCTTTAGCATTGTAGTGGTGCTCAAATGTGGTCAAAAGACCATAATGAAATTAACATGAAACGTGTCTAACAAAATTTTTTACAATTTTATTATCCTCATAGAAATACAAAATACACATTCTAAAGACTTACTTCCTCCAAACATCTCCTTAGAGCTTCATAGCTTATCAACTTCATGTGCCGCTGAAAAGTAGTTGCCCCACTCAGTCTCAGAAAGGCTTAACTGTTTGGTGATCTTTTGTCCTTCAGGATCCTAAGTTTAGCAAACCCAAATGAAACAGCATCGGTTGATTTTTGGATTCTACTGGAAGAGCTGTGGAGCCTGGAGAATAAATAGGAATGTGTATAGGAATGTGTAAATGGAATATGCATACCTACTTGTTCTGGGATAAATTTGGCCCACAACGAGGAAAAAACATATCCCCATGCCTAAGAGAGATAACCATTGATACCGTGCAGCATATTGTCCAGTTATAGTCAGTCATAACAAGAACTTGTTTTATATGGTTTCATTAGTGTCGTAAATGTTTTTGAGAAGAAAGAAGTGGCCTTCTTACACCAGCTTATACAGATAGCAGGGTACATCTATACAACTCCCTTACCTTACAAACTCCTTAAATAGATGAATGTATGACACTTCCACAGTGCCTGTAATCCTGAGCATCTGCCGGGCTCTCCCCAGCCCGTTCCTCCTTCCCTCCTCACAGAGCCAAAACAGGAACAAGGAACCTTCCCTGCAAAATAGCTGCTGGAGAAATACTTCTGCCAGCATTTTATTTGTTTATTTGCTTGCTTTTAGATGACAAATGTAAACATATATGTAGCCAGATGTTGTTTTAATTAGTTTAAAACTGCTTTTATTTCCTTAGGGAAGAGGCGTACCAGATCTTAATACACGACTTTTGGTCAGAAAGCTGTGGGATTCTTTTCAAATTCCTGTTTTCACCCTCATGGATGCAGATCCACATGGTAAATCTGTAGAGCTTCAATGACATAAAAGTAAAGCAAAATTTATTTAGAATGTATTGTCTCACTTTTATGGGAAGGTACTCAGAGCATAGAGTTTCAACATAATCCTGATTTATGCAGAATTTATGCAGAATATACCTAGGAGTAAGAAAGAAGTTGCAGAGATTTGTTGTGGTTTGAGGTATTAATAAGAATCTTACCTTGTACCTAAAAAGTTAAAAAAAAAAAAAAAAAAAAAAAGAATTTGCAGCTCAGAATAAAGCTATATTTTGAAAGTACCTATTGGACTGAAAATGAAGATAAGGATAGTGGCATTTTATGATCTATTTTTGCATGGTTCCACTGATTTTAATGACCACTTCTAAAAGCCTCAGGATATAGCCTAGCTAAGTCTTTACAGATTTCAATACCATTGAAAATGTTGCTCTGTCAGGAATTCCAAGTGTTTGGTATACTATTCCTTTTGTGAAATAAAAGGAAATAACAGGAACTTTTGTAAACATTGCTCAGTTTAGTATAAAGCAAAATTTTTACTATGTTATGATCCTTAGGCCAGACAGACACAAAGAACACAGTATGTTTGAGCAAAGTGAGTCTTCTGTTGGCTTTAAAGTAGTTCACGTGCACTTCTATTAATAATTCAGCACTGATGTCAACAGTTTACAGTAGTGAAAGCTAGCAACTACAAGTCTGATGCTAGCAGGAATAAAGTTAATCCTAAAAAAAGTTCATCCCATTCTGGATGTGCTATTCTATTACATCAGCAGTAGGTCGGAAATTTAACTCATTTCACAATGGATTCTGTATGAGAGTGTGTATGCCTTAGTTTGACTTCAGAATCTGAATTCACATACACAAAATGTAGTAAACCTCTAATGTATCCCCACTGATCCCAGCTGAAATTAGGGAGATTACTGCAAAACAAGAAGCAGCTGCTCAAAGCATGAAGAGATACGGATTACACAGGATAAAGAAAGACGCTTTTCATGATAGATGTTGGACAATGTGTAAAATAGCTGATTATCCTTTGTTTTGAATTGACTATGCACAGACAGCATGAAACATTTAACTATATAAAGGTGAAATATTATGCTCAACTTCTGATTATTTTGACATGCTCTAAAAACAATTGTAAACCAGAAGGAACCTCACTAATTATAAAGCTGTAACCATTATGCCATAAAATTGAATTCTTAATGAAGTCCTCTTAAACATGCCCAGTGTGCAGATAAACAGACACTTGACATTTGGTATTCTGCAACCTAGGTGTAGAAATAATGTGTATCTACAAATATGGATCTGTGGTGAGTATAATTTTTCCACTTCAAATACACTGTTTTGTAGCCCAGCCTTGAATCCAGAATGTATGAAATGTTATAGCCTTTGCTAGAATAGTTACTGCCATTTATCATTTTGTTTCAGCACAGAGACACAGTTTTTAGGCCTTGTGTATCTGCAGAAAATGGCTTCTTCCTGCAACAAGAAGAAACTGGCTAACAATGGCTGGTGTTTCATTTAACTGTATTTCAGTTTTTCCCTGATGCACAGGCAGTTTTCAGACAGTCCAAATAGACAAGTGTTCTCCATTTTGCTTTGTTTCTGCCTTGGAAACGACAGCTGGAGGGGCCTTGGGAGGAGGAAGACATAACCACAAAATCATGTTATGTTGGTAAAGATTTTGTTTTGGGGTGAGAATTTGCTTATGGATACATGTGTTAGTGTGGAACTTTATGGAAGAAGAGGCAAGGGGAACAAGAAGGCATTATTATATTACATTGCTAAAAGAGGAGGTACAGGAAGACAGTATGGAAGACAGGCAGGCTAAGGTGAAAGCAAAAGGCAGGAGCAGGTGGGTGAACTGTTCAGTAAAGCATAGAAGAAAAAACATCCAAAGTAAAAAAAAAAAAAAACAAACAAACAAAAAAAAACCCAAACAAAACAAACCAAAGCAAAACGAACTTCAGAAAACTGTCAGACATCAATGATGTCAAGAGTTCAAATATATATTGTAACATATGCATCAAGGACATCCAGGGAGACAGAACTCCCAAGTTTTCAGGTGAGCTGTCACGCCTTCAGCTCTGCTACAAAAGTGGGTAAACTGATAAAACACTTCCAGGATTCAATTAAATTGTCAGGTTCTTTTGAAAGTTTATTTTGTTCAGTTACAGAGCAACAGGTGTATCAAATGAAACTAGAATATGTCAAGTTCTTTACAAACAATGGAAGTATTCCTTTATACAACATGCAATTTAACTGTGATACTTTGCTGTAGGGGGCTGTAGATGACAGAAGTTTTCATGGATTCTAAAAGCAACCTGACAAAATCAAGTATTACACCACCACCACTTCTAGCTCAGAAAGCTGGAATCACAAACAGTTGGGAGCAGGGGGAGTATTCTGAGAAGTATCATTAATTCTGTATTTGTTTGTACATTTTTTCACTAAGATATTTACTGCAGCCATGACACTGGACCAGATGAACCTTTGGGCTATTTTTATATGATGTGCTTTCCAGCAGAAAATATCAGAAATTTCCAGATTTGATTGTCATTACTCATTTTTTTTTTTTTTTGGCAATCAGACTCATATTTATTGTAAAAGATGAAACAAAACTATTCAGACTAGGCCAGCCTAAACTGGACTAGCCTAGAATCTGTCATAGGCTGAAGGGTGCGTATCTTGGCAAAGGAAGAGTTTCTGACAAGGGGATATGGTAAGCTTCAGTTGTACTGTGTTCTCCTATACCATTCTGGTAGTGAAAATGCCTAATTTTCTTTGTAATAAAATCTTGCCATGACCTTGCAAAACATGTATCTCAAATAATTTAAATTAATAAGTCACTGAATGTTATAGTTGAGCTTTCTTATTTTAGTCAATGTCTTTTGAGGCCCACCGTCTCACCGTTCCATCTATAAAGTGGCTTGGTCTCCTTCCATCTGATCTTGAGAGGTTAGTTATTTCCCCAAAAGAAACAGAAGTATTCTTCTGTTTCACAGACAGAAAGTGCAGTCTGACTTAATGCACAAAAAGACAACTGACATTTAAATCTGTTATTCCTTTCATAGATTATTTTGGCTTAATATCAAGAAATAAATTGGAATAAATATATTTTAAGTATATGAGAAAATTTAACAACTTTATTTTATTTTCAGATTGCATATACACAAAGATGTCTTGATTCCATTTACAAAGCAAGATCAAAATAAGTTAGCAAGTATACAGAAGAGACCTTACATTGCTTGTCAGCCAATGTGGAAAAAAGAAGTATGTATAAACCTATTGTTTCCTATTTCTTACTCTGCACAGGACAAATCCTATTGTCTGCAATCCTGTTCATCTTTATGATGATAAACCCTTACTACAGCAGAACCAGTAAGGTTTTGCAGCCCTAAAATAAGGCAGGATTGAGAAATGCCATGCCCTGGGATGTCTCTCTGAATCAGTTGGCCTCAACAGCCCACAGGCCAGAACTGGCAGCCTCTTAAGCTTTCCTGCTATTAGTCATCTGATGATCACATGGGATTTTACTACTTTCCTAAGTATTACAGAATATATTACATCTTTCCAAATAGGGGAATGCTTACAGGAGCTACTTACTCAGTACTAGACCTCTAATCTTGCCTGTACTTTTAAAGCATACATCTCAGTTCAGGCATAGATTCTGTGAAATTGTTAGAAAGGAAGAAAAGATATTGTGTACCTTCTCCTTCCTGTTTATACTCGTAAATTGTCTGTGTCGCTGTGAGGTACACACTAGAGAGCCCCTGACCATACAATAAACTTAATCTCAGCTCAGTGACAGGGATTTTGCAGCACCATTTCCAGTAATACTCACTTTTCAGTGTTACATGCACATCCAACAAGTGTAATTCTTACTTAAATAATTACCTAACCCTGGATCAGGCTGTTACAGCATCACACATTAATTTGTTCTTTTTTTTTTAGCTGGAAATCATGGCAGCATCTAAACTGAAGGCTGAAATTCAAGTTTTAACTTCTCTTTCATCAGATTACCTTTCCAGAGTCTATTTACCAAACAAACTACAATTTGGTGGATGGCTATGAATGCTTGTTGCAAATGAAATGTTTTTTCTCGATACTGATTTGTTGACTGCTGTTATAAAAAGACGCATAGAGACAGGAGCATGCTTCAGCTTCTTGTTAGGTTTCTTTATCACTGTATCTAGATTATCATCATCTCTTTTTCCTCTTTCAAACCATAAGAGAAACTACAATTATTTTATAGAATAGTTGCTTCCATTGTGTGGCTTCTGAAGTGTAACAATGCCAAATGCAGTGGTACGTACGTAAAAAGATAATGAACTATGTTCTTTCTGGTCAGAAAATAGGAAGTTCAAAAATCTATCGAGGAATTGCTTTGCCTTCTGTTTTAAAGCACAAGATGATGCTGTACCAACCTTTTTATTTTTGAAGAGAGTAATACTGTTAATTTATCACACGTGCCTCCTTTTGGAAATTAAGTACAGCATTGTGGCATTTTGTGTTTGTTGTGAATTCAGACTGAAAAGTCAGAGATAATGCTCCATTACTGCCTATCTCCAGCAGCTATGAACATTCCAGCAACCAAATTACTAGTTGTCTTCAATGAACAATTGAGCAGATGTTACTAATTGAGAATTTAATAAACAATCCTGTTAATGATGCCCATGACAACAGAATCCCTTGTTCATTTTATTTTAGTTAGCCCTGAAACTGTAAAAAGGAGCAGAAAACTGTGGTGATTAAAGTGCTCAGTGAATTGTGTGAGGAAACCTGATCAACTGCATAGAAAACCTTTCCAAAATTGATCTGCCGAGTCATCGGCATGGATCTTACTGCTAGTATTTTTAGTCGACTTATCTGGTTGGGGCTTTTTACCACTGTTCCACCAGCATTAAATTCAAAAGGAATTGAAATTTCTTCTTCTTTATCGCCCAGTAGCGGTGTTCCCACCGACGGTGGCACCCGCAGGCCGGGTGCAGGGCCCATCCCGACCCAGCGGGAAGCGCGGGCTGTGCCAGCCAAGTTTCCCCACGCTCACTGACTGTGCTCAGTGCCACGGCAGCACCGGGCAACAGCCGAACGTGCTTTGGCCCGCCCGAGCCCCGTCCCTCGCAGCGCAGGGAAAGTAAAACTTATTAATGCTTTTTCTCTTCCCTCAGCAGCCGCGCCAGCGCGCAGGCGCCGCCCCCGCCCCGCTGGGCGAGGGCGCCTGCGCAGAGCGACGCGGCCGCCTTCGCCGTGGGGCCGTGCCGCTGGAGGCCGCGGGCTGGAGCGGGCCCGCCGTCCGGGTGAGTGAGGGCCGGCGGCCGGCTCCGCCTTCCCTGCGGCAGGTCCCCCCACCCCCGGTTCCTCGGCGTGGCCGCTCCCCGCGCCGGGCGGTTCGTGCCGGCGGGGAAGTGGGACCCCCGCGAAATGGCGCGTCCTCGCTTGCTGGGCGTTCTGGCCGCCCCGCCGGGCGGGCTGTGGGGGGAGAAGCGGGGTTGGCCGCTGTGGCGGGGGGAGAGCGTGTGCGGGGCTCCGGCAGCCCGGCGGTGCTGGGGGAGGGGGGTTTGGGGAGGCGGGGAGGGGTGAGCTGCCGCCAGGAGCGGGACCCGTGACAGCGGTGAGAGGGCGGCCGATCGGGAGATGCGAGGGATCTAACTGCAACGAGAAGCGTTCATTTTAAAAATTTTAAAACTTCCTATGTTTTCCTGTCCCCGGGTGCTTGCCAGGCGGGGTGAGGGGCGTGCTGCTGTAACGGCCGCGCAGAGACCCCCTAGGGATGCTTGAGGGCCTTCCAGCTCTCAGTAAGCCTTTTCCTTGTTTGCAGAGCAAGGATGAGTCTGTTTGGATCGACATCAGGGTTTGGGACTGGAGGTACCAGCATGTTTGGAAGTACGACTGCAGATAACCATAATCCAATGAAGGTAGGTGTGTTAGTCTCTGGGAGCCACTGTTCTGCTGTGTTTTCATGTGTCACAGCAGTACCTACTGACTCACCCTATAGAAGTAATAGGATCTCAGTGCACGGTTTTCAAATGTGGATAATTTTGTTCTGTCTTCTGTGGGTTGTAGGATATTGAAGTAACATCTCCACCTGATGACAGCATATCTTGTTTAGCATTTAGTCCACCAACATTGCCGGGAAATTTCCTCATTGCAGGGTCATGGGCGAATGATGTAAGTACTCACAATCAGACCTATAGCTGAATAAGGGGGAGCATTGGTGTCAGCGCTGCAAAATGTGATCCTAAAAACTTGTGCCAGGACACCTGAAAAATGTTTCCCTTTGCAGAACCGCAGAACTTGTGTCTGGTGCCAGGGCACTAAGTTTGACACAGCTGAGCTGCTTCAACTGAGGAATTCAGTTGTGATCTCCAGATAAGCTATTCCTCTGACTCTGTGTTACGAGCTTCAGCTTGCAATGTGAAGTCAGTGTTTTCCTTGTTAGATTGTTATTACTTTGATTTTTCTTACTTGGTTTTAGCTTAATTTTCTTATACAGTTAGGCTGACATAGTTATGCTTTCCCAGTGAAAGAACTGTGACTGTAATGGTAAATCCTCCAGTTTTTGAAGTGTGTTTGGATTGAAGGGTGAGATCCCAACTGGCACAGACAGGGAGGGAAGACAATGTGAGCACATTTTTTAACTGCTCTGTTTGGTCTGTTGGCTGTTAGCCTGCAGCAGGCAGCTTCTTTCTAGCTGACAGTTAAGGGCTCTCCAGGAGAGCACTGGGAGGTGTTACGTGGTCATAAGGTACGTCTGAGTTGGGGTTGAGTTGTGGCTGTACAGGTAAGAGCAACGTAATCAGAGAAAATAAGGTTTCACTAGTTCTGAAAAAAGCTTGGTGTTTATAATGATACTTTTAATTGGATAAGCTAAGGCTGGGGTCCTCAAGGTGAGAAGTCTTTTCAGTTCTCAGTGTTAATATGCTGTGTCTGTATACACTTCTCCTGTTGCAGGTTCGCTGCTGGGAAGTTCAGGATAATGGACAGACAATTCCAAAGGCTCAGCAGATGCACACAGGGCCTGTACTAGATGGCTGCTGGAGTGATGTATGTTCTTATTAAAAAAAATAAACAATTTTTACCAAAACACTAAATAAATTGGCATGTGGTTTCCAGACAAAGTGCCATATGTAGATGCAGTGTGTGATTATTGTATGGATTTACGTTACTGTAAATATGTGCTAAGCATGTCCTAATAGAATAACATGAGTGTAAGGGTAAAAGTGAGTTTAAAACTAAGAATGTATTTAAAGCTAGATAATAGCTAGCATGGTTTTCTCTTTTATGACATACAGTTGTAAATAAGTTTCTATTTTTGTGTTTCTTCTCTGTCTTGTAATCCCTATATATGTTACATTAATGTTACGCTATTACTAGAAGAGAATAAGACTTGACAGTTTTCTAATAGGTACTGCATGATCGAGCTATTTAATCTGTTGGCCTTATTCTTGTTTTTTTAGGATGGGAGTAAAGTATTTACTGCTTCCTGTGATAAAACTGCCAAAATGTGGGATCTCAACAGTAATCAAGCTATTCAGATTGCACAAGTAAGCCCCAAGCTATTTGGTGATTTTTTTTTTTTTTTCCTTTTCTGTTTTTATTAAAAGCTACCTTTATTAGCAAATTAAGCAAACGTTTAGTGTTTCTGAAGTAGATCCTGCTATATGAAGAAGAGGCTGTAGGGTGCTTTTTACATTTTTGAGGTAATGAAGTGCACATGAATAGGGAGACCTGCAATCAAAGTGATTTGAATAACCTGTGCAGCTGTTTCCTCTTATTTTACTTGAGAGCTCTTTCCATTGCTGCCGTTGTCTCACTAAGTCCCTGTCTTGGTTTAAACCCAGCTGGCAGCCAAACACCACGCAGCCCCTCACTCACCTTCCCCTGCCCCAGGGGTTGGGGGAGAGAATTGGAGGGACAGAGGTAAGGAGACTCATAGGTTGAGATGAAAACAAGTTAGTGTTTGAAATAAAATAAAAATAATAATGATAATAATAATAATAGAAAATACAAACGAATAATGTGCAGTGCAGTTGTTTACCACCCACTGACCGATGCCCAGCCTGCTCCTGGCTAGCGATCCCAGAGAAGCAAGAATCATGAAACTGCAATCCTGAAAGCGAGAGGGAGCTTCCCAGTCAACCCTTACCTGTACGCTGAGCACGACATTAGATGATGTGGAATATTCCCTTGGCCAGTTCGGGTCCGTTGTTCTGGCTGTGCTCCCTTCCAGCTGCTTGTGTACTTGTGCACTAGCAGGACATGGGAAATTGTAAAGTCCTTGTTTTTGAAGCAACAACTGAAAACATCAGTGCGTTATCAACATTCTTCTCATACCAAATCCCATACTGAATCCAAAATTCTAGCTACTAAGAAGAAAAAAAAATTAGCTCTATCCCAGTGGAAGGCAGGGCAGTCACCTTGCTGCATTAATGGGGAAAAAAAATTTAAGAAATCATTGATTCCACTTTCACAAATACCGCCTTTCTGCTGCAGCAGTAACATGGATTATAATTTGCATTCTTAATTTAGAAGTGAGTGTCTGTTGACAGAATATGTAGTTACGGTGACTAAAATGAGTTAGCAGTTATACAAGTTGGGAGTGAGTCCTTTTAATGATTGCTTCTTGTAGCTTACTTGAGGTCATAAAGTTCAGATTCTCAGCCTTGTAAAATCTTGTTGGTGTAATTAACATAGGCCTTTCTTCCATACCTGTTGTCAGAAGCTGGGTTTTTTTTATGCATTTAGTATAGTAAGTTATTTATTGCAAAGCGTTGATTTTTGGCATAAGGGATAATATCCTTTACAAATAACTAGAAAGTCATGCTGTTCGTAATTTGTATTTCTGCTGTGACCATCTTCCTGTATAGGGTGACGATTGTAGTTCTTTGTGTCAGGAACCATTTTTTTCTTATGTGAGTGATTTTTACAGCACTCGCTACACAACACAAGGTCATGACCAACCCTTATCCTAACTACTGTGACTAAAATATTGAATCACTTTTCTTAGATGGATAAGAAGTATGAATGCATACAAAAAATAGGAGGAGCATAAACAAGGAATATGAACTGTTATCTTAGCAAATGTGTGTGTATTTGTCCTTTTTTCCTTCAGCATGATGCTCCTGTGAAGACTATCCATTGGATTAAAGCACCAAATTATAGTTGTTTGATGACAGGAAGCTGGGATAAAACTTTGAAGGTATGATTTTTAGGTGAACAAATGGACACAAAGCATGCTTGTAATCTGTGTATGAAAATATTTATGTGAAGTGAAAATATTTTATTAAACACTAATACAAAGAAACAGATTAGTGTAGTAGCCTCACTTCACAGAGAGTTGCAGTATTCTGACTACAGTCAAGAATGAATCAACTAGGTACCAATTGCATTCTCTCTACTGAAGTAATTTAAATGGTGTATCCTCAACTCCAGGTGTAAGTTTGTTCATTTCTCTGTTTTTGTCAGTTCTGGGATACCCGTTCACCAACACCTATGATGACATTGCAGCTCCCTGAAAGATGTTATTGTGCAGATGTGGTAAGCCGTGATGTACGGTAAACTAGTGTCAGCTAGATGACTGGGAGTATGAATAAACTGGCTGTCTTGAGGCGTCTGAAGGTTAACACTAAACACCAGCTGTTAGCATAGAATCATAGAATAGTATTCAGTCTCTGTGA